TTTTTTTATTGGGCGGCAAAGATATTTTCCCCCCTTTTCCTCCTCTTCTTCAATTCTGGCTGATAGGCTTTCAGATAGGTGATCACTTCCCTGTTTTTTAGCTGCCCATTCTGGACAGCTCCCTGCTTTCCTGCTTATCCCTATCTGAGATTGTAACCTGCGTATTTATCTTGGGAGATTTACCTTCTCTGTAAAAGACAGAAAAAATCTCTGTATATACATATATAAGGGGGACTTAATCTTCAGTTCTTCTTGATGTCACGAACCCTTCAGTCACTTCTTCTATGGCAGTTGTTATTGCTGACTTTTTTCATTTCAGAGGCTGCCTTTGCTGACTTTTCATCCCTGCTGACTTCTGCCATTGCTGACTTTTATCCCAGAGGCTGCCATGTGGGATTGTTCCCTCTTCTGGTCTGGACTCCCTCTTCCTATTATGTTGGGCCTGTGAGGCCCAACTCAGCTTTGTTTGTTCTGATGGGCCTTGGGCTGGATGTGTCAATTTTTGGCCCAAACAAGATGATAATAAGTTACACTTTTTTCTTTTTCTATTATCAACTGTCATTCATTCAAACATAATCTTTGCCAAGTTGGTTACAACGAATGTGCTCCACGCTCTACAACCGAGTTCAAATTCCTGAAGATAGACTGAGACTCTCAATCCGATAATCTATAGTTAGGATTGACTTAACAAATCAAATATGCATTAGAGTTGCTCTATAAGCCAATAATAATTTGATTTAATAACTAAATATAAGATTTGATTTGATTTTTAGATGTTTCATATAAATATTATATATGCGTGTGAGAGTAATTTGAGTCCTATACATGCATCGAGAATACACTTGAACTATTTATTTGTAATGAAATATCAAAATTTAAAACAAAAAAGATATAACGTCATTAACGTTAGTAACGAGATTTTGATTCTCTTCTTCTAGGTCTTAAAATGAATCCGATAATAATCTAGCATATGAATCTAATGTTGATGGGGTATGGACTGTCCAATCCGATAATTCAACTTATAAATGAATTTGGATTTGAAATAAAGGCTTCTCAAATTCAAATACGATCCGTTTATAGACCTACTTAACTTTCTCCCTTTCTATGGTAACTTTCATTAGACCAAACACAAGATCTACCGTAACTTTCACCGCACACAAATCTATCATAACGTCTATCCTAAAATTTGAAGTTCAATCTCAAATATGTTTAGGGTGTTTCTCGGAAGGAATAACCTATATCCTCACTCCTATAGACCTAACGACTAAAGCCAAAAGGTGAGTTTATTTTTAAATTCCTCTCATGACTAAAGTTTGCAGACACGGCATTTGGGTTATCTCGTGCATTGACCAACTTTTGGCATTATATCAACATCTTCTAATACCATAAGATCAAGCAGCCTAAAACTAATCGTCCCTTCTCGTTGACATGATTAAACTATGAGAGCTACTCTCCTGTAACTTCTATGACTTTTGGTACATCCCCCTCTTCTAATCACCAGAATCTTCCAGTGTGAACGTTCATGCTAATTAAGGTGACCAAAACTTTCAACAACAAACGTGGCTCACATTCTACTTTGCAAGTCGGTCCAATTTTCTAGTCCGTACGTGACAGAATCACAGCTGTCTTTTTTTGCTTCAGGCTAAGGTTCACGATACTTAATATCTCACAATGCTGCATTATTAATCATTGTAACGCATCATGACAATGTAATAAGACAATCAAATGATTAATCTAAAGAATTAAGTTTGGAATCTATAAGATATGAGAAATTCTAAAAACCCTAGAAGACAAAAGAAAACAAAAGGAAATTAACAAAAATTTCTATGAAAAAAATTTGCAAAATATTAAAAGGCTCGTTTGGGCTGAACGTCCGAAAAAGCACATACATCATGACAAAGGTGGGTCATGGGCCCAGAAATCGGAGTCCAGCCCAAACTTGCAACTTGCCGATTTTACTTTTGCGCACGCGAACTTCCAACTCCTCTTCTATCACCTCAGCCATAAATATTCTACATAAAAATGCAGTTGGAATTACTCTTATTGCAAAGCTAAATTCAAGGAAATTTTGACCTTCATTTCAGTGTGCATTCTTCTTAATTTTTTTATTTTACTTTTTCATACTTACATAACGGAAGCCAAATGATTTTATTTTTTTTTAATAATTAAAAAAAGTCCACAAATACAGACACAACTCAATGTCATATATTTGTATAAAATATTTTGGTTGAATCGATTAGTCACCTATATCAGTGGGTGTGTAAAGCAAGAAAACAACTTTGCTTGACGATTAAGGTGTGTAAGCAAGAAAACTAGTTCCTCTTGCAGTCCCTAAATCAATCGATTATATGGGAAACAAAACAATTAATTTTACAATCTTATTTCAGTTGACCTTCTTCTTTGTCGCTCTACAGCTCCTTTTAGATTAATCTCTTTGATTAATTAATGTATAGTTAATAATCAACTCTCTTAACTAACACACGTGTTGACTCCTTCTTCATGGGGGGCAATAAACTAGATTCATTAGGTTTCCTTTTATTTTCACGTAGCTTTTCAATAATTTCATTTGAATTCTTCATATATACTCGCTCTTCGTATAATAACCGATGTGATGGAATCCACACATGTTGATGATTATTTTTTCTTTCTCATTTTGGTTCAACAATACAACAAACTTTTGGCGTGAATTTGGAATTCAAAATCTTTTCTAACAAAGTGCAGACTTATGTGACTTGACCAAATGATTTATAGACCAATGAGCGAAGTTTTTCAGGCCGAATAAATAAAAAAAAAAAAAAAAAAAAAAAAAAAAAGAAGAAGAAAAATTGGGATCAGTTGCGTTGCTTTGCCCTTTCAGACGAAAAGCTGAACTATAGAAGTGAATCAATCTGGATCGGAAGTACACGTGATTCCATTTTGCCTTGATCTCATAAATTGTCTAAAATTAACCACATGCATGCAGTAGAGGATAGAGCTAACTATTCGTCTTTTTGTGCGTATCCTTTCTGTAAACAGAATCTATTAAGTACTTCACAAGAGTTATATCCTTATTAATCTCGCTTAAGATCGATGTGTTAGCCCTAAGACCAAGGTTGTATAATACAATAAGCACTCGAGGTTGGTGCAGATCGGGGTTTGGCGAATATTCTATTAGGAATTTCGCGATATTCATGAAAAATGAAATGTTAATGTGTAGATGGAGGGATTTGAAAGAAAGGGTTTGGATTTGACAACAATGCTAAATTTGCTGCAAAAACAGGAATTACATCAGATTGAAGGAATAAACCTAAACGCTATTGAATGCGTTTGAAATAATGACTATATGAAAGTTTTATTCCTTTCTTTCTTGTTTAAATATTGGTATACATGAATTGTGGAGACAATTGTTTTATTCCTTTCTTTGGGATGCTTATCCACAAGTTGGAACTCTAATGATGGGTTTTGGACACCATATATATAAAACGAAGATGCAACTACCAACTTCTTGTCCTCTCATTAACAAGCCAAAAATGACTGTGACTTTTACCTTTTATCACATCTCAGACTCAGCCTCCACCACCAAGCTCAAAAACTTAAACTTCACAAGGATGTAATAGTAATTTAGGCAATCAGCTTTGTCTGATCAAATAGGGATGAAGATAATACTATCTTAATACAGATGGCCTAACAACTTGCCATTTTATTGGTTATTCAAATTAGAAAAAAATAACATTAAATTTTCAGAGGGCCAGGTAGGAAGGAGTGGATGACGACATCAGAATGACCAGAAGTGATGACGTCGCGCGACAGCAACGTTAATATCAGAGCGCGTGTAGAAGCATCGCGCCACATGTTGTATGAAGTGGAGGCTCATCTAGCCGTTGGTGGGAACAGGGTCCTGAATCTCGGGGGTAGGGTTCTTTTTTCTCTTTGGATGGACCTTCATTCCTTCTTCCTTGCATTGCAATTTGAGAGGAGCAGCTCTTTTTGACGCCTATATAAAGCCTACAGCCCACCACAAAAACTCTCCTCCTCACATATAGCTAAAACACATTATTAAGGATTAATTAGTTGTTAATCAAAATTATTAAGGTCTAATCATGGAGTGGTCTTGGCCGGAGAGTGTGTTATCAAATGGGGAAAGGGTGAAGGAAGAGTTGATGCAAGGGCGTGAGCTTGCAGGTAAACTTTGTAGGGTTTTTGATAATCACAAGTCAACACTTGTTAGTGGTTTTGGTGGTGGTGGTGGTGGTTCGGCTGAGGATCTTGTTGATAAGATTTTGGGATCATTTGCAAATACCCTTTTGATCTTAAATGGAAAAGAGTCTGACGGGGAGATTGTTTCTGGTGATCAGATTCAAGGGATCAGTAGTGGTGGTGGCTCTGCAGATTCATCATCTTGGGATGCTAATCATACGGCGGCTGTTATTAAGTCTGAAGATTTTTATGAGGAGAGTTGTAAGACTACTTCAACCTTCAAGGATCGTAGAGGTTCCTACAAGAGAAGGTAAATTAATTCATTGACAATTAATACATCCATTTAAAGAGTGATCATCATCAACTCGTTTAGTTAATTGGGTGGATTGATGGTTTAATCTTAAAATTTCATATGCTGTATGCGGGATCTGACTACTGGTAGGAGTTCATGTGAAATATATTACTAAAAAGTTTTGCTCATAACAATTATCCACACACACGTAAATAAAATATAGTAATTTTATTGTGATAAAATAAGACAGTTGTTAATCTAGTCTTCAATAAATAAAAAATAAAAAAAATTGGTCACACCAATTGTTAGTTTCACATAAATTCATAAAATTTATATCGCGACAATATAATTCACATGCATGCTATATAATAAATGTTAATTTACTCACAACAGCTGTTAGATTCGTATAGATGCATAAAATTTCTATTGAGATAAAATAAGGTAAGAGTTAGCTAGGACCACCCTAGTTGCTTTGATAGGTTCATTCCATGCCATATACTAATAAAATTAGGATATGCTTTACTC